AACCTAAACCACAAAATTAAAACAACTAAAACTAAAACCAAAACCAAAACCAAAACCAAAACCAATCTAAACTAAACCTAAACCTAAACTAAACTAAACTTAAACCAAACCTAAACCTAAACCTAAACTAAACCAAAACCAAAATTAAAACAACTAAAACTAAAACTAAACCAAAACTAAAACTAAACTATAAACTAAGCTAAACTAAAAACTAAACTTAAACTAAAACTAAACTATAAAAAAACTAAAACCAAAACCAAAACTAAGCTAAACTAAACGGGGCTGTTCTTGAAAACTATCCAGAAGCTTCAACTGGTCCAAACTGGAATGGCCTGTTTTGGTTTTGTGCAAGTCCAGATTTGCACCCAGGTCAGTCACCTCCCTTGTGGGACCCCAAAGGTGCTTTTTTTTTTCTTTTTCCCAAGGGGCTTTCTGGTTTTTCTCTGAAGACGTTTCGCTTCTCATCCCAGAAGCTTCTTCAACTCTGACTGGACGGTGGGGGAAGGGAAGGATTGATATTCCTTGCAGATACAGCTGGTCATTTGCATCCTTTTTGAGGGTCCTTGAGGCCACTTGGAGGTTTGTCTGCGTCCTTTCAGGGTCACCCGAGTGGTGCAAATAGGTGTGGAGCCCACAGGGAAAGGACACGGGATAGAAAACCTCCTGCAGCCAAGAAGGCTCCACACCCATTTGCACTATTCAGGCGACCCACAGGGTGACTTTGAGCCAATCGCCAGGAGGCGGCGAGTTCTAGTCCTGCCTTAGGCCCATTTCACACACGAGACAAGTGGGAGATGCTGCTGCAGAGAATTTTTCTATTAGGCTTTCAAACGCCAAAGGAAATGCTTGCAAATGAGAACCTCTGTTTTCCAATTCTGTTTTTAGCCCACTGCTTTTCAACCTCGGCATTTTGTAGATGGTTGGACTACGACTCCCAGAATTCCCCAGCCAGCAGAGCTGGCTGGGGAATTCTGGGAGTCGAAGTCCACCAGTCTTAACAGTTACCAAACCTTAGAAACAACTAGTGCAAAAAAACCTCCCATATAAAAGAACGATGCTTTCATTGCTCCAATTACTCTTTTATTACTATCTGGAGTGCCGCTCGGAAGGCATTCTCAGCTGGTCTGGGGAGGTGAAAGGCCTCCGTTCAGCTGCACGCAAACCATCTGCCCTCATTTTGGCGCTGCACTGCTTTCACACACACCCCCCCCAAAAAACCAGGATGGCTTGCAACGGAAGAGAAAGAAGGATCCGAGGCTTAGGAACTGAATTTTAAAAGCACCCCCCTAAGAGATACTTTGGATGTGTCTGATATGAGCGGCGCCTCCAATTTAGATGGGATTCCTATCTCAGTCCAAGATAAAAGTCACAAACAGCCGTGGGGGGGCGAAGCAAAAAGTGTGGACTCGCTCTGTTGCCGCCATCCCGCGGTGAAGAAACGTCCACACGATTGAGTTCTGTAACACAACTTACAGGATAAAATTCATTGCACGAAAGAGGATAAGAAAACTACAATGAGAATCATTGTATACACTTATACTTATCTTGTAAACAATGGACAAATCAAATAAATAAATTTAAAAAAATAAAATAAGGGAAAAGTTAATGTACGGGTGCAAAGGGATCCAGCAGGGGGAGCCCTTGCGCAAGAAAATTCCAGGGTTGAGCCTAGAGAGGAAGAGGGGGTGAAAGAGATGGCAGTAAAGTCGATTCGCTTAGTGACTGCTCCAAGTTACGTCGGCATCGGGGGGGGAAAAAAGGGACCCAGAACCATTTTTCACACTTTCACACAGTTGCAGCCTCCCTGGCGTTAAAAATCCACAGCATGCCAACCGACTCAAAATGATGACGGTCACGTGATTCCCTTTGGCGACCGTTTGATCCGGTGAAGTCGAATTGATCTAACAACCATGTTGCTACCCCCGTGTTTCGCCCAAAATAAGACCCTGTTTTTTATTTTTTTTTCTCGGCCCACCGAAAAAGGCACTAGGTCTTATTTTGAGGGGGGGATAACTTTTCCCGAGCTTGTGGATTGATTTCCGAACGTTTCATTACCAGGCTAGACAACATCTTCAGTGGAGTTTGAGGGGGGATATCGGTGTTCTTCTGTATGTAAGGCCCCCGAAAAGCACCAGTTCAACCCTTGTAATTATTCAGTTACTTTATAATACCTTGTTTCCCCGAAAATAAGACCCTATCTTAGGTTTTTTTGCCACCAAAAAACGCACCAGGTCTTATTTTCGGGGGACATCCTCTAATGACTAACCTCACTTGGGTGCATCACCCCTAGCCTCCTTATGGCTGTCAGAGGCCTTCAGGAACGTCGTCTTCTGTAGCCAGCAAGTCTTCCTTGAAGGCCTCTGCGGCCTAGAACAGAGTTCTGGATCGATCCACAGCTTTGTTCTCAGCTATGGAGGCCTTCAGGAAAGCCTTGACAGCCTTGATGGCTGCAGAAGAAATGGGCCGGCCAGGCAGGTGTCAGGAGTGTGTGAGGCCTGGTTACACCTGTCCAAAGGTAAGTAGTAGGGCAGCTCCACCCGCCCATCCCCACCCTATCTTAATTTTCACCCGTCCATTCTGGAGTGGGCAGGATTTTAATTAGGGCTTATTTTGGGGGTAGGGCTTATATTGGGTGCATGTCTAAAAAAAATCAAACTAGGACTTACTTTCAGGGTAGGCCGTATTTTCAGGGAAACAGGGTAATTAAAACAGTTGCATTGATTCGCTTAACAACGGTGGCGAGGTGGCAAAATGGTCCCCGTCTTGCTCAGCGACGGAAATCCGGGCCTCCATTGTGGACGTAGGTCAACCTGTATGTTGAAGTCTGAATCCAGTAAGCAAATATACACACACACACACATATATACATACATACATTTATATGCACATGCACACATATGTACATATACATACATACATTCACACACACACACGCAGATATATACATATATACACTGCTCAAAAAAATAAAAGGAAGACTTAAACAACACAATGTAACCCCAATCACACTTCTGTGAAATCAAACTGTCCCCTTAGGTAGCAACACTGATTGACCATCCATTTCACAGGCTGTTGTGCAAATGGAATAGACAACAGGTGGAAAGCAGAGGCAGGTAGCAAGACATATGCCCAATAAAGAAGTGGTTCTGCAGGTGGTGACCACAGT